CACACACACACACACACACACACACACACACACACACACACACACACACACACACACACACACACACAGCAAGAGCTGAATACAAAGTTATTACATCAATTGAAACCCTCTACAGGAAGCCTGTCACAGGCCAGTCTTTCCATTGCTGTAGAAAAGTCGAGTCAAGTGGCCGTCACATTGCGCAACATCAGATAATCAATACCTCAACTTTTCAAGAGAGGCTTATCCAATCAGATGGATGCATTGTTCTTTAAAAAAACTAATCAGGTATCATTTGTCAGGAAGACAATTTGCATTTTCTAAAAGCCACTTGTGGAGAGTGAAGATTTGATTTGGAAATACTGCTCGGACACAGAAGTAAAACCTAAGAAGGTTGGTATTGATTGGTTCACCGGAGGGAAAAAACAGCACGATCATCCACTGGAGACTATATTCAAACACTTTCTGTTTAAAAGTGAGTAAAGTAACTTTGAGTTATTTTTAAAGCACTTTTAGAGACAAGAAACAGTCACTAAGTGCTTTACAGGGGTAAATCGATTAAAGAAAGTAAACACAAAGAAGCAGAAAAGGTTAGTTATTGGTCTCCTTTTGGAAAATGGAAGCTGTGGTCACCTTAGGTTTACTAAAAATCAACTAAATTCTAACTGGGTGGTTTTTTCAGCAAACAATAAAGCAGGAAAATGCCAAGAGAAACCTGCAGCTCCTTTACTGCATAATCATATCCACAGGAATTGGAAGCAGCGGAAGGATTCAATACCCAAGGCCGGCATTCTGCAAGAACAGCGTGCAGGTATGTGTTCTAGTTGGGTGCCATTTAATTTCACCATTTTTATAGCAATGAATCAAATGCATCCTCCAGAGCAGCAAATGAGAACGCACCATGAAGGATTTAACCACTAGCTAGAGCAATTGATAATATTAGCTGGACATGTCTTTAAGGGACTGTGGGAGAGCAGAGCAGAGCTAAAAAGAAAAGTCAGTACTGGACATCCAACAGGTGGCCAGATACGTCTTACATTATGAATTAACCAAGTTGAAAAACTTTTTAAATCAGGCACCCAATTGAATCACGGATCTCATAGAGGCAGACAGCTGCACACACTGATCCTTGCACCCATTATTACTTCAAAAAGAAAAGCTCACTCCAAATATGTGACCCCAATTTGAGTATGCAGTTAAGAAAATTAATAGATGGACACAATATAGCCAAAAAAGCCATTTAGGACTATTTATTAACAATGATGAACAAATGGACCAAATAACGATCGGATGCCGCGTTTACCATGGCGACAGCACTTCTCTAGATCAAATGTTAAAATTGTCTTAGATTTTAAGGATCAGATCAAGCAGAGTTCAAAGATGAAGAAGCTGAAAAGGCAGAATTTGTGAAGTGTCACTTCAAAGTTACAGTTTTGGTTTGCTCGCTCTCTCGTTCCTTTGAACATATAATATCTACCAGTCAGAGTGGCTTATGAAGACATAGCAAGCTGCACTACCGGCAGCTATTACAAATGTACCTGAAACTGTAAACAGACACATCCTTTTGTCAAAACACTTGGCGAAAAAAATAAAAATTTTAGTTTAAGACCATCAGACTTAATGTTTTATTATGCACACTGGTTCAATGTCAGTTACCCTTACAGCCGAGTGCAGAAAGCAGATTTAGTCGGTGCTCGGTGGTTCAGTAAACAGAATCAAAAGAGCTCGTTTGAGTCCGTTTCACTGCGGTTCTTTTCATTGTATTGGTGAGCCTCAAGCACAGAGATGGAGGCCAATTATTGAGCCAACCCAGCAAACTACTTCATCTTTTTACTCTGACTGTAAGAACAGTGGGTGGTGATTTTTGTTCTGTTGGTTTTTTTGTTTTGTTTTTTTCTCATGAAGAAAAGCAAAGCTGGTCAGACGCAGGAGGAAACAAACCCCAGTCCTTACGGTCCAACGTGGATCTAAGTGTTAGCTACTCCAAAGGCCTGCAAACAATTCAATTCAATTTGTTTTATGTAGCGCCAAATCACAACAGCAGTCCCCTCAAGGTGTTTTATATCGTAAGAACACACAATGATACAGCGAAAACCCCAACAATCAGACAACCCTCTATGAGCAAGCACTTGGTGACAGTGGGAAGGAAAAACTCCCTTTAAACAGAAAGAAACTCCCAGGAAAACCAGGCACAGTGAGGGGCAATGTTGCCAGTTTGGGGGTGAGGGATGGGAGACAGGACAAAAGACACAGATATTAGTAATACCTAACGATTAAATGCAGGCTGGTGTATAAACACCAAACATAAAAAAAAAAAATTAAAAAAAAACACTGGGAAGCCCCCAGCAGCCTAGGACTACTCCCTATAACCGAGGGAGGGTTCAGGGTCACCTGATCCCGTCCTAAAAAAAAAAAGAAACATTTTAAGCCTAATGATAAACACACACATACACAATTCAACTTGTTGGGTCATTAAAATTTCATACAGATGGCAGGCATAAAAGTGTCAGAATGACTGGACACAGAGAGTGGCGGGGCACTGAAAATGAATTCAACGATTAGGGCAGGGCTTCTGTCGTAAAAACGCCAACATGGGTTAATTATTAAATTAAGCACTAACCGTAAAAGGGTGGCGCCACGCATATTAACACTTGCAATAATGGGCATTAATGGGGTAGAAAAGAGTCCAGCAGATGCGATTAATCTAACACAGCATATAGGTAAAAGGGTTCCTTCAGGACAACGACAGCAAATGAGCATAAACAAGCCTCTCCCAATGAAACCGAGCAACCGTGACAGTAATCTGGCTTGTCATTGGAAGGCGCTCCTGTGTATAACTACTCAGATGGCAGCCAGTGTAAACACATATGGGCACACAAAGTATTTGACTGTCACACTCAAATGAAATTCAATTTACAACCATTAACAAAGGTCAGGACCAAAAAAACAAAACAAAAGAAAAAAGATACACACAGGGATTTTTCAGAGACTGTTTGAGCCCTCTGTTTTTGCAGTATCACAGTTTACACTT